TGACCTGCGGGTCACTAGAAAACAGAAACGCTATTTCCCAAGGAAAGCCTGCGTAGATGCCCCTACCGGTGCTGTATTATCACAAGCAGAAGAAACCATCACAAAGTCAAACAGGCAACCTGCAAAATGGGGGGATATTTTTGCATAACACACTTCTGACAAGGGGTTAATCTCCCAAATTTACAAAGTTCTTATATAATCCAATTAAAAATGGACAGAGGACCTAGAATCTTCTAAAGAAGACATTCAGATGGTCTACAGACATGAAAAAAGGTTCGGCATCACTTATTATAAGGGAAATGCAAATTAAAACCGCACTGAGAACCACCTCACCCTGTGAGAACGGCCTGCACGAATAAGAATGGAATTAACAAATGTTGGCGAGGTTGTGGTGAAAAAAACGAACCCTCATCCACTGTTGGTGGGAGTGCAAGTTGGTGCAACCCTGGGGAAGATGGTATGGAGATTCCTTAAGAAAATAAAAATGGAAGTTCCCTATGAGCCAGCAGTATCTCTATTAGGGGTTTATCCAAATTGTAAGAAAACGCTAATACAAAAAGATCTATCTACACCTATGTACAGAGCAGCACTGTTGACAATTCTCAAGTGATGGAACCAACCCAAGTGCCCTTCAGCAGATGAATGGATAGAGAAATTGTGGACTATATGCTCAATGGAGTGTTACACAGTTGTGAAGAAAGAGAAAATGGTGGTATTTGGGACAAAATAGATAGAACTTGAGGGGATTATCTTGAGTGAAGTAAGTCAGAAAGTGAAAGATACCGGAGTGTTTCATTCACCAGTGAAATATAAATATAAATATATATGTATCTCTCTCTCTCTATATATATATATCTCCATATTTATATGCAGAGTAGTAGGACTAAAACAAATTCAGCAAAAAGAAGATAATGGTATAGAGGGCACAGGGGAGGGGGCTGGGGGAAAAGACAGATGGGGTATGGGCACGGGTGGTTTGGTGGAGGGGAAAAAAATAAAGCAGTAGCCTGAGCACCATCTAAAACAGGAGAAGCTCGGGCATCTGTTTTGCTGGGGGTGTCCTGTGTGACCAAAGCAATGTAGGGAAGCCCGTGAGCCTCAGTTTCTTCACCTGTAAATGGGGATGATGAGGTCACAGTTTCTCAGTTTGTAGGGACTGGCAATAATGTGTGTACAGAGTGTTTCATATGTAGTATCACTCAGTAAGTGGTGGTAGCTATTCTTATCACAATCAGAAATCCACAGGTTTAAGCTTCAAGAATGCGGAGATTAAGACACAGAACGCTAATGATAACCCTTTAAGTAAGGGATTCTGGCTGGCCGTTTTTCCCAAAAAAAGAACCCCAAAATAGTTTTCCTAAATAAGACATTACAGAATGGATGTGTTTAAAATACCAAAACAAAGAAAAAAGGGGGGGCAGTGTAGCTTGGGGGTTAAGAGCAGTGGCTTAAAGGCTGTCCAGGCCCAAGTAAAATAGCTATTTCCTAGTCTTAAGACATTAGACAAGAGACTTACCCTCTTAAACACTTGGTTTCCTCATCTAAAGTTGAGGGTAACAGAATTGCATGAAAGTCAGCTGCCTAATACACAAAAAACACTCAACCATTGTCATTCAGTGGTGGTGGTGCAGGAAACTTGTCAGGTGGTTCCAGGACTTCCCGAAAACCAGTATTTTCAATTCATATAAAAGGATAGGTTTGATCCATTAAACTCAAACACATACTTTATTCATTAATACACATTTTTTTGGCGCTCACTCTATCAGACACTGAATTTAGATGTATGTGGAACAGGAGAAATATTGTGACATTTTTCAAGCTTACTAGTCTCATCTGGCCTTTCACACCAGCCAAGTTAGACAACTTCTAGCATCTTTTCAGGAGGAGGTAACAGGAAAGGTCGTGGGTCTACCCTTCGGGAAGCTACCTTCCCTGTTCACACATCAGAATGGCCCTCAGGTCACAGTTAGAAATGCAAACGGGGACCCTGGTGTCATAGCCAGTGTGACCTTTGAGTAACTACGCACAAGCCACACCAGGGACCGAGCGCGCCCGTGTCCAGAGCAGGCTGGCTGTGTTTGTCTTGCCGTATTACATCCATTATGGATGTCGAACGCTGAGGGATCTGTCACATTTAAATTACACACAGAAGTCTTAAAAAATCTGTACTTAACCTCTTCTTTCTATTTCACTCACTCTCTCCTTTACTACTCCTTTTTCATTGTCTTTTTCTTTTCTTAAGTTTAAAGAGCCAGAATCGTTCTCTGCATTCAGACAAGATTCAGATGTGGATCTTGGACAGCACACTCACCGTCATGTTCGGGACCAAAACAAAGCTAACCCTGCGCACCCTTTCCTGTGACCTCTGATTTAGCTGAGGAGAGGTTCAAGCTTTGTCCTGTTCACCTGGATTGCAACAGTCACACCTACCAATATTGATGAAATAAACATCCTCTAGCAAAGCAGACACTAAGGAGTTCATATGACAAGTTGTGGGGCATGATGACGTCCCACCTCTCTCGCCCTTCAGGTGCTCCAGTGCAAAGCAGAGTAAGGCAGGATTCTACAATCTCAAGTTAGAGTCGTGGCATCAGAATTCCTGAACCAGTGGAGGACATAGGACTAATGAAGGATCTGGTTCGAGCGCCAGCCCTGAAGGTCTAGGTTACAAGCCTTGCAAGAGTCAGGCAAGGGAATTTTAACCCATGCTGCATATCTGAAAGTAATTTCTAACATTCATCAAACTGATTAGCAGTCACTAGTTTTGTCAATAAAAATCCATTTGTGATACCAGTGTGCTAATTGGCAAATCTGTTGCTGGTGATGTAGAAAGGCTGGAAGAAGGTCGCGCAGTGGCCCCCTCTGGACAGAATGATCACTGTCCACCCCAGACTCTACATGCTGATAAATGTTACTTGACCACCAGGCACATGCCTTCTGTCTTATTATCCTGAAATATTTTAAAGGAAATTTTAAAATTTAAATTGTAAAGTCTACAGTCATACTAGGAGGAAGAATGCCTGTTTCAAACAGTTTAAAGCAAACCAAGCAGAGAGCAGAAGCTCCAGAATGGATCCCAACCTTGGAACAGGAGGTCATCAATTAAAAAAAAGAAAAAAAAAAAACGCAGAAAATAATGCCCCTGTGTTCCCCTGAAGGATCCAACAACCATTGCAGTTTTGGAAAGCAATTCGGAGGCCTCTTTCTACTAGCAGATTTGACATCTCTCACTGTCCTGCCTTGGGATTTGGGGAGGTATACAAGGTTCATGGATCAGCTTTCAAGGCCCTTTTCTAATGGATTTATAACTCGCATCCCCGAGTTAACAAATGAAAAGTCCGGGTATCAGCACAGGCCCTAACCAGGTATTTTACTAGCCCAGTGGGAATCCATGCTACTCTCCGCCATCATTAGAGAAAGAGGCAGCTGGAAAGTGGGTCACATCTGTACCAGAAGACTATTTTTTTCTCATTCTGTTTTTATCAACATTTATTTTAGCCTTGTTCTTATTTCTGCATCCTTTCTTCTTCGGGAAAAAAAATCTATATTGGAGATAGTGCAATATTCAATTCTTTGGAATGCTCCATAGTTTGCCACATTTTAAGGATTTGGTGAGACTGAGATTCCAAAAGAGCTGAGAGATGTATGAAATAGTACAGATCCTCCTTGGCTTTCAATGAGATTTCTTCCCATTAAACCCATGGGAGTTGAAAATATTACAATATTTCAAATATTTCAGTCAAATAAAAATATTTGATTTGTAAATCAAAAATGCATTGAAACACCTAACCTACTGCACATCCTAGCTTAGCCTCGCCCACCTCCAGTGTGCTCAGAACACATGCATTGGTCTACAGGTAGGTGAAATGATCTGAAACATAGCCTGTTGTATAACGAAGTGTTGACTAGCTCATGTAAGTTACTGAATGCTGCACTGAAAGTGGGAGGCTGGCTGTAGAGGACTGGCTCTTCACCCTCGTGATCCCAGGCCTGATTGAGAGCTGCAGCTGCCCACCATCATGGCAGAGCGTGCTGCTATACGCCTCTAGCCCAGGAGAAAAATCAAAATTCAAGATTCAGAGTGATTTGTACTGAATGCTGCTCTCTCTCATACTGTCGTAAAGTCAAAAAATCACGAGTGGAATCACTGTATGTTGGGAAACATCTGTATAAACTTTCTGGAAGATATTTTGGAAATATAAAACCTTCCGGGAGAAAGACTTTATATTCTTTGATTCAATAAATTCATACCTCTAAATCCATTTTAAGAAATGTCCAGAGATGTAAATAAAGATTTGTCTATGGGTATGTTCCTCACCAGTTTACTCATAACCATGACAAATGAAAAAGTCAATGTATAAAACTACAAACATTGCATAACTATTTTATTTTAATATTTGTGTACAGATTATGCACATAACTTTTTAAATATTAGAAGAGAAATACCCCAAAATGTTAACAAGCATCAGTTTGGAATTTTTGGTGATCTCAGCTCTATTTTCTTCTTACATTGTTCTGGATTTTCTAAACTTTCCCCTATGACTATGCATTTTGCATGTATATATGTATATATACACATACACATATACATATACACACATGCCTTTTTAGATATATATTTTACATATAAAATCTCTATATACAAAGTTTTATATATATAAACATATCTATGGCTATTGTGTAAGTGTATTCATCCCCTTTGGTGAAATAATCCTAGGTCTAAGAAAACATTAAAAAAGAGATACAAAGCTCTGTGCTTCCCCACGTCATATGCTGCATTGCCAAGGACAAAGGTTACTGTGTTGTGGGTTTATCGAATAGATATTTTTATTAGTGGGACCCTGGTTAAACTGAAAGCTGGATGATAGTGAATCAGTGATTCTTTCATAAGATTGTTGAATTTGCTGGAAAGTACAAAAATTACATACCTGAAAACTGACTGAAGCCCAAGAGATCATCTGCTTTCAAACATTTTTTAACCAGAGCGTCTTCCTTTGCAGTAAAGTCCTAAAGGAATCTGCGGTACATAACCCAGCATCAGAGCAGCGCCCTGGTTGAAGTAAAGGAGGCAGATCTGGACCTCAAACCATCTGAAGAACACCTGGGGTAGGACGATGTATTGATCCTTTCACTTATACTTGTTCAATTTCTATTTTTTCCACTAGCTAGGCAGATGCCTTCGTCTGTTTGGATTGTCACAATAGAGTATCATAGACTGGGTGGCTTATAAGCAACAAAAATTTCTTTTTATTGCATTAGATTGGTTTACATCATTGTTTGTGTACTGGAAGTACAGGATCTCCCCCCTCAGGTGTTGTTACCACATTGCACCCACCGCCAAGACACCCATCCTCCAGCATAGTCCGTTGTGCTCCCCACCCCATCCTGGCCTCACCCTTCTCCGGCTCCCCCAGCCTCGGTTCTCTAGTCAGCTTTCTCGGATTAGTTCTCAGTTCGGCTTTAACTGACCCTTTGTTTCGTTTCTCCATATTCCACTGATAAATGGCACCGTGAAGTATTTGTTTTTCTCCTTCTGACTTCAAAAAGTTATTACTGACAGCTCAGGAGGCTGGGAAGCCCAAGATCAAGGTACCCCCAGATTCATACCCGATGAGGGCCCTCTTCCTGGTTCATGAACAGCCATAGTTTTTGCTATGTCCTTGCATGGCGGGGCGTGCGAGGGCCCTCTCGGGGGGTCTCTTTTATAAGGACTCTAGTGCTACTCATAAGGCTCCACCCTCATGGTCTCATCACCTCCCAAACATGCCACCCCATAATACCATCACACTGGGGGGTAAGTTTTAACATATGAATTTGGGGGAGCCCCATCAAGATATTTATCTTCCTACATTGTGTAAAATGCTCTTTGACCAACGGCAGATTAGGCCAACTGCAGCAGGAGTGGAGCATTGAGGAGAGAATCCCCAGCCTGGGACTGGATGGTGGGCAGCGAGACCAGGACCTCAGTCCCTACTCCCTGAGGTGATTAAGCTTCAAGGAGAGGAGGCCATGAGGGGCATCCAGGATGGCTGGGGACTGGTCATGGGGCCCATCAGGACCCCATGTGTGGCACCTAAGGGACCACACAAGCTGAGAAAACAGACATCTCGGGGGTGACATTGGAGACTACAACATGAAGGTTGGGTCAGCCTACTTGATGGGTGTGCATTCTCCTGTGCCACACGCTCGGAGCAACCAGGAACAGGGAAAGTTCCGATAGGCAGGGTGAATTTCCCCCAATCAGCAAGCTCAGCTGCATCAGAATCGGATTAATTTAATGTTAGAAGACAAGCAAGGAAGTGGTCTTTTGCACAGCTGAAGTTGGACGCTGCATGACAAGTTGCAATGGCTCATGTTCCATGCCCGTGTCTCCTGCTCATTTCTGGGTGTGTCTGTGAGGCGTTTCGAAATGAGATGAGCAGTTGAATCAGCGGACTCAAGCAGATTGCCTCCCTGACGAGGGCAGATGTCGTCCAGCCCATTAAGGGCCTGAGTAGAACAGGAAGCTGAGGGAGAGGGGATTTGTGTCCTTCCTGCACCTGCTTGAGCCGGGACATGGGTCTTCCCCTTCCCTTGGACGAGGATTTATTCACGCATTGGCTCCCAGTTCGTAGGCCTCCGGGCTCAGGCTGAGCCGTGTCACTACCTTTCCTGGCTCTCCAGGAGGTCGTGGACGTCGGTCCCTCGGAATAAATCTCCTGTGGATGGATGGGTGGATGGAGGATGCATGTGGTTAAAGTACGCATGTAACATATATATTCTTAAATACATAAAATACATGAGTTTTATAAATTATATATTATAATAATATGATACAGGTGTTTCCTCTGGGTTCTCTTTCTCTGGAAAACAGCGACTGATACACAAATCCAACCCTTTGTGCTCCTGGCGTGGGTTAGTTCTCGTCCTCGGCTGGATGGGCAAGTTAGTGGAGATGTTAAGCTATAAGCAAGCTCCTCTGTTGCCTCACACGGGGTGAAGGAGGCTCACGAACACAACAAGCATTTTGAAAAGAAGGTAGAAAAAGCATGGTCAGCAGAACAACAGCACCCCGATGTCCGTGCCCTGGTTTGATGAGTATGCTCTTTTATATGACAGGGACCTGTGCAGCTGTGATGAAGTCTAGAATGTTGAGACAGGCTGATTACCCTGAAGTGCCGAAGCAGGGCCAGTTTAGTTGTAACAGGGTCACCTGGAAAGAGGAGGTTCTGGGTCCCCTGCCCCAGCTGCAGAAGGGGGAAGCAGAGTGCCAAGGGGAAGCTGGAAAGGACTTGGAAGAAGGGACCTGGGAAAGACTTGGGGGAGACATGTGGACCAGAGACCTTTGCTTCTCGGCCTTGGACTTGTACCGGGGACTTGGGAGACACGCGGAGGAGAGACTTGCAGAGACACTTGGCAGAGACGTGGGTGAGAGGCCTGCGGGGAGGCTGACAATAGCAGCCTTTATCTTGACTGGGACTTTGATTTTGCATCTTTCATTGCAAACTGACCCTTGCAAAAAAGGGTCATTGCCTGACCCTTCCCTGTGGGTCCCCACCAGAAGGTGCCTTAGACTTGTGGCAGGTTTTGGGGCCTCAGTGGCATTTACCACAGGGGATGGTTAACTTTGGGTGTTTCCCTGGGAAATGACATCCTTTCTCTCCTCTCTCTGTGCGCATCAGTCTAGTCAAGTTCTTTTCTGTTGAAGGTCTTAGGCTCCAAGAGTGTGCTTTGTCTTGATGTGGCAGACGGCAGAACCCATTTAGAGTGTGCAAGTTTGAGGGCCTTGGGGTGCCCCTCAGTCTGCCCCCTAACATGATCACAAGGGTCCTTTTTTGGGAAAGAGGAAGCCAGAGAAGGAGAGAAGATGTGGGGACAGAAGCAGGACTCAAAGTGAGGCAGAGGGCACCAGCCACGGCGCGGGGTGGCGTCCGGAGGCAGGCCAGGCGAGGAAACGCGTACTCCCTGCAGCCGCCACGACAAAAAGGCAGCCCTGCCAGCCCTTGCTTCTTGTTTCATCCCAGTGAGATGTCTGACCGATGAAACTGTGAGATAGTAATTTGTGTTGTTCTAAGCCAGAAGTTTGTGATTTTGCATAGCAGTGACAGAAAACTCCTACAGAAAGGGAGAAGTATAGGTAGAAAAAAATATGGAGGGAAGGAGAGGAGGACAAGGAAAAGTCAGTCTCACCGCCTGGGGTGCTGTGCCCGGCCTGTGCCCAGCTCAGTCAGCCCTGAGTCCCTTGGATCCAATATTAGCAACACACACACAGCCCTGTGAGTTCCTGGCACGGTCCTCCGCACTCTCTTTACATCAACCAGTTTAGTCCTAGAAGCACTACGGCAAGGTGCTTTATTGCCCCATTTTACAGGTGGGGAGACTGAGGCCTCCTGATCCTGAGACGCTTGCTCCAAGTTGCACAGCTAGTAGGAGGCAGAGCCACAAGCAAACCCAAGCAAGTTAGCTCTAACCTGCACAGTTTCCTTCTGCTTCCTCGGAACCATACCCTGAGGACAGAAAGGAGGGGAGGAGGGAGGAAAAGGAGCAAAGAAGGGGTCTGCTTCCCACCAGTGCTTCCTAGGGTCTTCCTGGTTTCGAGGGCAGTCTCCATCCTGGCGCTGCTGCGTCTAGCAGGCGAAGGAGTGGGCATCTGCCAGCCTGCCTGCTACTGTCTGCTGGCCCTGTCCAGCTGCCCGGGAGGAACTGCCAGACCCAGCGCCCAGCTCTAACAAGCATGTGGAAATGGATGGGTCACATATAAGCCAATTACAGCTGGCAGCTAGGTTTGGGGAAATCACTTTCCCTGGAACCAATTGGGAGCCCGTTTTGGAGATAAAAGGGACAGCACATTAGTCTCTGTGGTCAGAAGCAGCTTTCATGCATTTCACGGAGCAAAGGGAACCTGAAACATTTTGAAATGAGAAAATGGGGTACGGCCAAATTGCTCAGTCAAGGCGTTTAAGGGGTCTTTAGCGTGACATTCCATACAGGACCTGGGAGCTTACTCAAGCATGCAGGTAGAAACTAACATCTGTCTGTCTAGCGTCTGAGTATCGCTTCCCTTACATGTCTCCACCTGTGTCACTTACTGCTTTTGTCATTAAGACACCCCATCACGTATCCACAGCAATGAGGGTAGGGAAGGCCTAACAATTGAAATTCCCAGATAAACCGAAATCTCATTATTTGCACTTAGTTAAACCTCCTTTCATCCAAGTTTTTTACCAGCATCAGTTCAGGAAATTAAATACTAGCACCTTAGATAAAGGCCAATGTCACAGAGTAATAGAATCACAGAATCTAATACTGGGAAGGAGTTAGAGATCGTTGATTCTCACCTAGAGGTATAACCAGACTGAAGTATTTAGGCGAAGCTTCTGGACAGAAATAGTACAGGATCAAGACATGATTTTTGTCTGGAAATACTATAACGTTTATAATAAGTGATCATTCTCTGCCTGCATGCAGCCAGTAACAGGGAACTCACTATTCAGGATGACCTAATTCAATCCAGTACAACTCTAACCTAAAGAAGAAAAAGGCCTTTCTTGTATTAGACCCATAACTACCACCTTCAATGAGGCCATGACTTCCTTAGGACTGACTGACTTTCAGAGGCTGTCTCCAAGTGTGCCTTTAGTGCCTCTGGAGACTCAGCATCCACGTAGCCATCAACACACACACATGCACACACACACACACACACACACAGACTGCTCTGACATCTCTGCAAGTGACCAGCCCAACTATAATGTCAAAAGAAAAGAAACAATGAGAAATAGAGAAGGGGAAAGAAAAGACAGCAGAAGAAGAAAAGGGAAGGGAGTGAAAAGAGAGTGGGGATGGATAAAGTGAAGGGGCAGGAGAGGGGATGGCGGAGCAGTGTCAGGGGCTCTCTCTTGCCCTGTGAAAGGGGGAGGTTGGATAGGGTGCGTTGCTGTTGTCCCAGATATCAGTGGCACATCCTGCAGACTTTCACAGAAATGCTTCACAGAAACATGAGTAGAAGAATAAATGCTGGAAATATTCAGAATATACTGCCAGATGGAAGGAGCTTAGAAAGCATACAGGGCGTGCATTTTATACATTTCTCTCTCCTATTTCTATCGGTAAAATACAGATTACTT